GTGTCCTTGAGAGGTGTGGTTATACTGGATTTCTTCAGGACTGAAGTACCAGGGAGCCACCTAGCGATCTCTTGCTTCAATTTTGTTTCCCAACCCACACTGGTACACCCTGAGTTCTAACTAATAGGATGATCTGGATCCTAATCGTAACATTACAGAAATCAAAACCAACTGATATGTATATCTACCCTTTTCTTTTTCTCTTTTTTAAAAGTTTTATTGTTTTTGATGAAAGTTTATATAAAATGTAGGTTTCTGTTTGGCAACTTCCACTTAATAGTTGCCATACATTAGTTACACTTAGCACAATGTGGCAACATCCTCTTTGTGTACTGTTTGTTCCATTTCTGTGATTGTTTTCCTGGACCTTTTGTCTTCTCACCTTTGCTTAGTCTCATAGTGATGGGTTTTAAGTAGACGACCAATTTTAAGTTATTTTGTGAGGATGTAATCGAAGAGTTACTAGCTATTACCTTTTAAAAGAAAATTCAGAAATGTGCATTTTTAATTGGTATAGGACTACTACTAACCAAAGCTAAAGAAAAGTTTGAAGAATTATGGTTGCCTAGTCCACAGGGAGCTGCATTGCTAATCCAAAAATGGGTCCTCTACAGTTGTTTGACTCCAATAGCAGATCTGTGATAAAAAAATGGACAATCTCTTGGTGATCTGAAGCCTCTGAAAAACTCCTTAACGGACTATGATACCAGACCTCCCTTAACGTGGTTGATAAGACACTATAAACAACTACAGTAATTGACTAATTAATGGAGTAAAACAAAATACCAGTGAATGAAAAAAACCAACATGATTTTAAACTTTCACTTACACAATTTTTTTTAAAGGAACATTTTTAAAACTGGAAATGTGCAATTTTTAAAAAACTTTGCAATCTGATTTTTTAACGTTAACTAGCAATGCAAATGTGCAAGCCTGTTTGAAACCACGGGTACAGTTTTGCACCCAGGTTACAAGGCATGAGTAGCCTGTAACGATTTGACTTTTGCCTCCTGGCCTGTATGAGGAAAGACAGCAAAAGTCACCTTCAAGGCACAATAGAGAAAGTTTATGGTTTCTCGGAGAACCTGAATAGGGCTAAAAAAAAATGGATAAACTGCCAGAATGAATTCCTATTTGATTTTTTACATCATCTGGGGCCTTGGGACTTTCTGTTTCACATGGCCAATGTTCGCTTTATTATTATTATTAATAATAATAATAGTAGTATTATTATTTAGGGGACAAAAACACCCTTTACTACGTATTAGAGGAACCTGTATCGTTGGGTGAGAAAAGGGGGCGCTAAGTAGCCTCGGGGAGTACTGGGAGAGCGGTTTCTGAGAAAGTATTTAGATACGCAGCTACCGGAAAGTGCAGGGAACAGTATTAATATTAGAAATGTGAAGACTATGGTCTATCTTCAATGAATACTGAGGGCGGAAATAACCTCTTCTCCGGCGCCCCTTGCGGCCAATCTCGCTCACCACAGACGTGCGGCTCCGGAATCCAGCGACCGCCATCTTGACGCATCTTCCTGCGCAGGCGCGACTCAAGGACCTCGCCCCGCCCCATAGGACAGCTCTGACCACGCCCCTTCCACGTGACTACGTCTGCGTTTCCGGAAGGTGTAGAGTTGCTGTTGTTGTGTTGTGATTGAAGTAGGCGGGTGCTCTCTCTGTGCTGGCCCTTAGAAAAATGTTGAGGTGCAATGCTCAGCCCTTGACTTTGATAGAGTAACAGGCTGATTACAAGTTATAACCACGAGGTGCGCAGGGGTCGGAACCAGGTTCAATTGAGTAAAGGCTTCTGTTGTTAGGTGCCACTGAGTCACTTGTAGGAGATCTAGATCAAAACCTAGCCAGCAGTGGAAAGAGCTTTTAAATGTTCCAGCAAAGGGAAAGGATAGAGCCGGAAGAGTGCATGATACTGTCAGGGAACTGCAGGGGCAATGCTTTAGACTTGCTGCAGGATAGTTGGTAAATAAATAGTGGGACTGCACTGTCACGAGGTCTGAGTTTTAGTGTAGGGACTATTAAGTGATCTCTGAATATATTTAACAGGAAAACAAGGTACCAGATTGTGAAGAGGGTTATAGAAGTAATTCAGACAAGGGAAATGAAAATATTCTACTTGTGGTAGTGATAATGGGAACTGAGTTAAAGCCATGGAGTCAAGAGGCACCTTTGAAGTAGAATTAATAGGAGATTGGTTTGGCAGGTGGAAGAATGAGGAAATTTTTAAATGGCTGGGCTACTGAAATGGAAAGATTAGTTTAAGCAAGCCATTGGAAATAAGGCACTGAAGAAATGAAGGAGGCTGGAGTTAGTCTGCCCTGTGTTTGTACGCCATCCTTGTTCCTTCCACTGGTAGGATAGTGCAGGCTGAGAAAATAGGTGAGTGCTATTCTTGCTTCAGCTTTTCCATTCCCATCATGAAGTAAATTTTTCACCTTGGTTCTTTCTTTGAGTAAGGATGTTACACTCAAGCTCTTCTCCCTTGATGAGAGCATGAATGAAATGGCCAATGTGCAAACCCTGGACCTAATCCTTGGTCTTATCTGTGCCAGCCCCAGCCCACTGGCAAGCCCTGGAAGTGCATATCACCCTAGTAGGTCCAACCTAGTCTTCACAGCCCTGGCTGGGGTCTGTCCTAGAATATCCTACTGGACATTCAGCTCCAATTCTACTGGAGCTTTACAGGGAGCTGATGCCCTAAATCCTATGTCTCGGGTAAAGGTCAAGACACTAGTCCAACAGTTGCTCTACTGCTTGGTGTTTATCAAAAGTTGTGTTAGGAAGGGTGAAGCAGTAACATCTACCATTATGTAGGATAGTCATTCTGTGGATTTCCCTACTTTAATAGAATTACCAAACTCCAGAGACTGCTATAAGATAATTTATTACAGACTAGTCTATAATTT